AAAAGTACTTTAAACTGTATAAATAATGTAAAATTAAATTGATTTAAACAGCCAATCATACGAATGTCTGCCTATGATAGTTGACCGCACACCCCAATGAGTCACGTGGATGCTGTAACTATTGTAATACGTACGTAATAGATGTGATATTACATCATTTCATATATAGTTACAAAAAAAAATATATAAAAAGCACATGTTCATATCTCATACTTCCCAAATCCACTTAAGCATGTCGGAAAGGATTATTTTAAATATTGGAGGTATAAAGGTATAAAGCGCAATAGTAAAATTTAAGATACTTTTTACATACGCACATGATTTATTTATGTGTTATGCTCTTTTTTTTTTAAATATATAGTATGAAACTTTTCGGTCAACACTCACTGCTCAGCCAGAGACATTACTTGGAAAAATGTTTCGAGATCAAAATGAATACATTAAAAATTCAGTTAACGGAAACGAATATTTTTTTAATCGTAATGGCGAAGCATTTTACTATATAATGGAATTTTATCGAACTGGAAAACTTTTATGGCCCATTGAAACTAAAAAATCTCAAGTTACTTATCAACAGCTTAAAGAAGAACTTGATTATTTTCAAATTAATAAGTCGAAAGTATGTTCTTTATTGATATCAGAAACTACTAAAAGTACAATTGAGCGATTTGTTACAATCCTTGAACAATTAATTATTAGTCACTATGTAAACTTTGACAATAAGATTTCTTTATCAGTTGGTAATAATGATAGCCGTCTTAGCCAATTTAAAGGATGTGATTTTGATATTCTGAATTATATGGAACATCAGATTGAAAAGTATTTAGTTGAAACTTTTTCTGAATTAGAATTAAAATGGGAATGTCAAAGAAGCTATGATTATTATCATAATTATCCATTCTTTGAGATTGAGATCACTTTTTCTTCACCATTTGAAAAAATATTAAAATCTGAGGATGCTCAAACTCATATCGGATTTACTCAAGCTCCAATCAATATATCAGAAGAAAAGATTATTTTAAATGTTGGAGGTAAAAAGGTATTGTATGAAGTATGATAATAAAATTTTAAATAACTTTAAATATTTATATCCATATAACATTTATATTTTTATATAGTATGAAACCTTTAAATCAATTCTCACAGCAAGGTCAAACACTTTACTTGGAACTATGTTTCAAGATCGAAATAAGAGCATGTTACATCCAATTAATGGAAACGAATATTTTTTTGATCGTAATAGTGAAGCATTTTATTATATAATGGAGTACTATCAAACTGGAAAGACTACATGGACCATTGAAACCGAAAAAATTCCTTATAAACAACTTAAAGAAGAGTTTGATTACTTTCAAATTCCTTTAGAGGAATCAATAGTACTTTGTTCATTGGCTATAGAAGCTGTTAAAAATAAGTATAATAACCTCATTTTGGCTTTTGAAGAATTAATCATTCAGTGTTGTAATTATCTTAGAAATAATATTGAATTAGAAATTAGACGTGGTAATATTCGTATAATTAATAAATCAGGTGATAGATATAAATTTTATTTAGAAGATTTACAACAGTTTTGTTTATCTAAATTTACGTTCTCTGAGACTTATATTATTTTAGATAATATGGAAAACCACGTTAAAGATCATTTAATTAAAATGTTTTCTGATTTAGGGTTAAAATGGGAATTTACTCGGGCTTATGGTTATCATAAAATCTGTATCTCTTTCTCATTTAAAAATGTTTTATAATATATATACACTTACGTGTTTATTTACTATCAAAACAGCACAGAATAATGTACAAAGATTTTATTGGAAACTAAAATATAAAAAAAAAGAATTGTTTTAACATATAATCAACTTTAATATTTTAAGAATCATATAAACCGAAAATAAAACTGAAAACTTCATATTAATAAAGTTTTTTTTTTAATTATTTATTGTTATAATGATTTGAAGTGTAATATATAGTAGTTTAGCTTTATTCATGATTTAAGTAGTGCGAATCTAACAGTATAGCTGAGGCCATCAACGATAAAGCATTAATGATATTCCCTAAAATATCGAATCTATATATCTATATATAAGGGGCAAAGTTCAATGAGAAATTATAAGAAAAAATAGAGTGGATAAAGATTTAGAAATCTATAAATATGCAGTATTATAGTACTGCATATTACAGTTATTAGACGAAACCTCGAGGTTTCGCGCTGACGAAACGCGATACCTAGTTTTTCTTTAGTCAATTAAATTCAATGATGAAATGTTGAAACTGATGAAATTGCAAGAGGTGACAAAACTAATAAAAGATGAAGATACTGATAAAAGTTGTTGAAACATATTGAAGATAATGTGAATAAAATAATAAAAATGAAATTTATAAAAATTACAAAAAAGTTTATACAACTAGGCGCTTGAATTATTTATAGCCATTTTCAAAAATTTGTGGAAAGATGCAGATCGCTATACCATGGAGAATTCACTATATTTCCCAGATTTCCAGAGTTTTCAAGACCAGCTATAATCGGATTTTTAATTTTTACTAAGCAGAATTTCCACATTCTTCGATTCCCCATATGGGTATATGGAAATCGTTTTCCACATCTTTTTGAAAACAACTGTAAAGGAAGTATTCTATGTTGTACTGTATTATTACTGGTACACTACATATTAGTTTTGGTGAGAATCACTTGGTGTTTACTTTGTGGCCTTACAAATTTATTTGTGTCAATATGTTTTAATTCGTTATTCGCGTTATTTATGGCTTTTGATAAGGTATTTCAACCGGTCTATATCAACCCTAGCGTTGCCCAGAAAAAATGAACTGGATTATTTTGCTGGCTTATATGTAATTTCAGATATTGTTATCTAGATAAATTATGAATTTGAATATTATCTATTTTTTAACTACATTTTCTTTTATTTATAATTAAACTTCACAAATAGGCCTTGCTATTTATGTTCAACTTAATCGAAAAAGCGATAGTAGCTTAACTTTGCTGAAAACTTTTTTTTTTTAACGGGAGTACTATGTTTTCGTCATTTTAAGTTTAAGTTTTTATGCTGTACCAGCTGATTTACATGAATTTAGTAGTGGCACTACCACTTCTAATACGCTAAGCTCCCGATGACCCTACGTTTAGCTAAATTCCCATTGTCATTTTAAAGCCGATATGTGGTATAATTAATATGGAATTGCAAATTAAAATCAAATCCGATTATAAGCAAGGGAAAAAATAAAATGTTTCCTATCAAAGAATAATAATAATAATAATAATATAAAAATGAATATACAATAAATCGACAAAGTTTGCGTGATCATTAAAGGATTGCAGTAGTGATTGACTTGGTTAAATTGGTTATCTAGACGATCAAATAATGGTTTGCAGAAAATCGAGATATCTATGTACGTTTAGTTTTTTTCAAGATTCGATACATGATAATGTTACAGTAAATTGAATTTGCACTTCAGGGAAATTAACGATAAGTTCAAAGGTTTAATAAAGAGTCAATTTTCAATAATGCAAATCTTTAGAATTCGAAAATGTCCTATCATTACAATAGTCAAATATCTTCGATCGAACTTTACAGTTTAGTTTAGTTGCTTAAGTGTTTTATATTTAAAGACGAATTCGAAAAATGTATATAGATGTTGAATTTATCAGGTAATTTTTTGTGAGTGCATTTTTTTCACAACATTAAAATTTATTTTTTATTAGCATACAGGTTCAACTTGCTACGATAACATGTAATGAACAAAATCTGGCACAGAATTTTTTAATGCGGATATTCCTAAATCAATGATATGTATGGTGGACAGGTTTTGCATTAGTATTGAGAGATTATCAGTTTTGAAGTTAGATTTATGTGGCAAAACAGTATAAAATAATTAAGATTTTAAATTTTTACAAAACCTATATAAAATTCTCATGGCAAAGCATGGTCATTAGCTAGTGATAACATAAGTTCAGTAAAATTTACAATCAAATCAGAAGGTCTCCAAAAATTGAATAGGTAAAACATTTTTGTTAGATTTAAATAATACTTATAAATCTGTTTGCATGCAGCAACTCAAGAAACACCACATGGATTCAAATCTTATCTGGCAAAGTAAAGAAGTATTTCTTTGGGAAAAAACCTGTTCCAAAGATTTTAAATAAGTTAATTTTCAACTAATTTGTGTATAGAGATTAGCCACATTCTTAAAGAATCTCTCTATTTCAAAATCAAGAGGAAATATTTTTGATGAAATTTTTACTAAAAATAATTCAATCAAATAAAGTAATTGTCTATTAAAATTTTTATTTCATTAAATATTAGATCTTGACACGAAATTAATACGAGAGAGTAAAAATGTGACATCAATTAGATTAAAGGTATTAGGATTTTTTTAAAAAATTGATATTTAATGAAAGAAGAAATTTATTTATACATTATTAAAAATTTTAGATATTGTTAAATATTAATAATTCATGCAATGTTACTTGTAGTTCTTTATAATTTATTATGATAATATCATATGAAAAACAATACATCATCAAAAAAAGGTTGGACACTTTGCACCCCAATTATTTTTGAATAAGTTAATTATGAATTACCTTAATTGGGTTTCAAAGTTAATAAATAAGTGACGCATTTCAAAAATAAAAAAGATTTTTCAATAGCATCTTTGCTATGTTGAATTATAAATCAGAAAATAAATAAGATTCCCTAATTTTAACTTTTATGCAATTGGGTTGATGTTCTTTATAATTTTTTTATTTGCTAAATTTTAAATTAATTGAGAACCTTATTCTGATCTATCGTAACAAATACCAGTTAATCACGGCAAGAATTACATTTATGCAATTCGAATAGCTAAAATAACTAAAATCACGTCATAAAACTTATGTACAGTACTATTATAATCACTAGAAAATTGCATTAGGATGACGATTGAGAACCATGATAACAGTTACACTATAATACAATTTCCAGTTGTCTTAATGAAATTAAAGAAAGCACCAGCTTCTATTTCTTAGAAAAAAGTAACAAGTTTTATCCAAATACTATAATATTGATATCTTTATATATTATAATTTCTGGGACTATGCATGTAATATTAGGGTCTGTATCAATTAAGTAATCAAAACTATATTATATTGATCGATTCACTAGGATCAAATTTTATTGGTGAAATTAATAGTAGCAAATTGAATATAATTTTATATCGTTTAATTATCAAACTTCTAAAAGATTTCAGATGAAAATTGTACTTATTTTTGAGCTTTTTTTTAATGAAGAGTATTCATTAAACCTTTCTCGAAGTTCCTATGCTGAATTTTTTACAAAAGCTTTAATTTATAGTTATGAGATAATTTTTTTTTACTCTAATTAATAAATTTTAAAGATTCCATATGACACATACTCAAAACTTGCAGGCTTATAGAAAATTTTCAACAGAGTTTAATTCTTTATCAATTTAAAGGTAATTTGATGCCTTGACAAGAAGTTGCATCGGTTTGAAATTTTTTTGCTAAATATCGATTTATTAAAGATAATCGTAATAATAATGATAGATAGATTTAAGGGTTTAGAGCTTAATTTGACTGATTAATAAAGTAATATCATCATTATTAGCATTATTATTATCGTTATGCAATATATACATACGCACAGTACAGTACAGCAAAAATTCGAATTTGAATAAAAAAATTGATAGTTGTTTGTGTAACCTGAAAACCTGGATATAAGAAATTTTAAAGCCTTTTCTTAATTGATGTCTCGGCATAGCTGAAGTTTATTTTGATTGATTGTTAAAATACCCGGAAAAAATGTTCATCGTAACCGGATAAAGTATCGGCCATACCCGGACGAGAATTTATTACTAATAAACTTTCAAAAAATTTGTCTAAAGACGCGTATTATAGTCTTACAATATATTAATTTGAGTCATAATAACTACTTTATTCATATTTTGCGATGTATATATTATTCTTTTCACAATAAATATATTAATTTTACAATAAACAATTAAGTTTCGCAATACAATATTTAACTTTGATTCTAAAATACGCGAACATTCCTAACAATTACCATTATAAACGTTGTATTTATAACTATACTTATAGGCTAAATTAATATAACAAAAAAATTAAGTACAGTTTAGAATGTAGTTCGAAATAATACTTTTTTATTAGGCAAGCAAAACTAATTGAAACAGAACCTTGCAACTTTACTCACCAATTGCTTAGGTCATCAAACTACCTTCCGACCTTTTAAAATCTTTACTTCTCATCTAAGATCTTGAAACTTTTGTATCCTATTGTATCCCAGGTCAAAAAACAATAAAACTCAAAGTAAAATACTAACGACTCAAATTGGTTTCTACATTACGTATTACAAAAAAATTTTCTCATATGACATACCGATTTTTACTTATAAAAGTACTTTAAAAATTACAATTGACTGTATAAAAAAAAAAGATCGTCACCAATCATATTTAGCCTAATTTTAGCCAATCAAAACAAACTTCCGCTATGCTTGATGTCTCACCATAATGTAATATCAGCCTTCTAGATTCAATTCTCTTAAAATTCCGAAAATTTTTCATCAAACATTAACACAATCAGATATTAAAAACCTGTTAGCACAAGTGACGAGTAATATTCTATTTTACTGTATTCCATCACGGTGAATAGATGAAATTGAAATAATATTCGGTACCAGTTCTAAGAAAATTATCCCAAATTTAAATTTTAGTTACCAAA